TTGTCAGATAATCTGGGATCGAGGAGGGAAATCACACCGCCTGAGCCTGCCCGCTCATCCCAGGGCCTCCCCGCGGCGCAACGTCGACGAAGAGTGGGTGCGTCTCGAGCCTGCCGGCGGCGGCCGCCTGGTGCAGCCGCCACGTCTGCATGCATAGCCACAGGACGAGGAAGCATCCGAGCGAGTTCCCGTTCACGAGCGCCCATCCAGCCAGCAGGACAGCCATCGGGACGGACACCAGGATGATGATGCGCGCGGCTCGCGCCGGCGTCGCCCCGCGCAGGAGAAGGAAGTTGAGCAGGAGCTGAGAGCCGTCCAGAGGGAACACCTGCGAGGTGCGGCGAGCAGGTGCGGGCGGCTCAGTCGGCGCCGCGCGCGCAAGCCCGTGTGGCAGGGCGGCCGCGCCGGCACGAGCAGGTTGAACACGAAGAGGAGGACGTTGATGTAGAGGCCGACCCAGCAGAGCCAGTGGTAGAGAGAGCTAGCCTCCAGCGGCACCGCGGGCGACCAGAAGCGGATTGGGTAGCCGGTGGTGGCAGAGAGAATGAGCCAGCAGAGCGTCATCGGCAGATGTGTTGCAGGCCCCGCCGCGGCCACGATCATTCGGTCGCGCGGGTTGGTCGGCATCACACAGGTTGCTAGGCCACCGAGGGGCCAGAGCAGGACGCGCTCGGCGCGGCAGCCGACCTTTTGCGCAGCGAGGCAGTGCCCGAACTCGTGCACCGTGACTGTGAGAAACAGAACGGCGGCGTAACACACTGCAAAGATTATGCCAATCGCTCCAAGTCGCGCGTGTGTGAGGCAGAGGAAGCCGAGGAAGAGCGGCAGCGAGAAGTGCAGGAAGACTGGGATGCCAAAGATGGAGCAGGCACGAACAGACCACTCCTGCGGCGGCGGCTGGCACGCCGCGCTGGATGGCGGCGGCGGGGGCGGCGGCGGACGCGAAATCGGCTTCGAGCTCATTGGTGTGCCGTTCAGGGAAGCGGGCGAGCCCGATCGACTCTTCGACTGCGGCCGGCACGCGAGGGCGGCTTTTCTTTTAGGTTAGTTGTTTGCAAAAGAAACAGAGCTTTTCTTATTTTCGTTTGTTTTTTGTTATGTTGACATGGACATGAAGAGAGAGTGGACATGTGCATGCAGGCGAGGTGGGATGATGCAAAGAATTACACAACCAACATCCAGATTATTTTTTCTTTTTGCGATGTGCTTACCTCTTAGACGGGCGGGGCGCGACCTCACCAACAGGGAGTTCACAGCCTTGTTATTGCGAAGAAAATATGTAGGCGCTTTACGCTGGTCTTGTTCACACCGTGCAAAGCGCCGAGATTGAGCAAACCCCAAACACTCGAGACTGGCCAGGCTCGAATGAGCGTGTTGGCTCCGTTGGCCGCCGCCCCTTCCTCGGCTGAGTGTGTGGTCTCACCCCCCGCCCCCGACAACCCTGAGCCCGCGCAGCAGCCGCCGCCCCGTGACGGCGACGCTCCAACTTCCTCGCCACGGCGGCGGCGGACATCGCGCGGCTTGGAGATCCTCGCGGCCGGCGTGGAGGTGCCGGCAAAGGCGACTGCGACAGCTGTCAAGCACGGCTGTGAGGTCACGGCGAAGACTGTCAAGGGCGGCGCAGAGAAGGGGGCGACGACGGTGAAAAATGGCGTGGCCTCGGCACAGGCGGTCGTCGCCGCTGTCCGATTGCTTCAGGCCCGCTCGCGCCGCACTCCCTCCCCGCCCAACCTTCCCCGCGGACCTGGCTGAGCTACCGACCCTCCCCGCTACCCCCCCCAGGCCGTCCGCCTCGACGGCAATGAGGGCATGACTGCGCGCGGCCGCCGAAACAGCACCGGCGCATGAGCCGCCACGCGCCAGCTGCTGCGCGCAGCACGCATGTGCATGAAAAAAACGCGGGACCGAGCTCTACCTCACTACGAATAGCGCATGTGGGCAGTTGTACGTCTAAGCCGGGTACTCAGAGTGGGTTGGCCAGAGAGTGAAACATTGTACATCGCACAATCCCGCGCCCGCCGGCCGGCGCGCGCGATACAACATATCGTAGTCATAGAGCCGTACAAGTGAGAGAAGTGAGCGCCTGAAAGTGTGTGCGCGGCTGCGGGGGCCGGGGCGCGCACGCGCGACCGGCTGACCGCGGGCGGGGGCGGCGGCCGGTGCGGCGCCGGCGAGAAAAAGGGGCAAGCTGAAAGAGGAAGCCTAGCCACTCCCCGGCGGGAGGGCGTGCAGCGTGCGCAGCGACTCGAAGATCCGCACCTGCTCCGCCGCAAGCGCCGACTGGATCTGCATCAGCTCGGCGGCCGCCTGTCGGAGGGGAGGCGGTGCGGGGGGGCGTGTCGTGGACGCGTGCTGTGCGGGGAGGGCGGCGGTGTCCGTCGCCCACACCACACCGTGGCGCCGTCTCGCCGCAGCGTTGCGAGGAGGGTGGCCAGCGCGCGCTCTTTGGCGGAGGCGGCCTGCACGACAAGTAGAGTTTAGAGTGGTCCGCCCCCCGGTCCTTCTCTCGTTCCTTGCCGCCTCTCTTCTCTCGCCCCCCCCCCACCCACCCACCCACCCACCCACCACCACACACCTCGGCGATCCGCTCGACGGCTTGCATCCCGCGCCGGACCGCCTAAACGACTCCCAAAACGTGAGATCGCGCTTCCCAACGCGGCTACAGCCCCGCCCTGCGGCCAGACAGCCTCCTCGTGCTCCGCTCTGCTACCGCCGCCTCCGCCGCCGCCTCCGCCGCCGCCTCCGCCGCCGCCTCCGCCGCCGCCTCCGCCGCCCCCGCCGCTCTTGGGGGGGTCGGGGGGGTCGAGGAGGCCTGGAGGGAGGCCAAAGCAAGCGGCGGCATGGTCGTCGGCCTCGCCCGAAGCGATCGCCGTCGCGCGCGGGGGGCGCCTAATCTCGGACGATCTCGGGTGAGCTCGGCGCATCTCGCCGCGACCGCCGCCACGCGGGGTGGGGTGTGGGGGATGGGGTGGGGGGTGGGGGGCGGGGGGTGGGAAGTGGGAGTGAGGGGTGGGGAGTGAGGGGGGTGAGGGGTGGGGGGTGAGGGGTGAGGAATTGGGGGACGGGGGGTGGCAGGCTGGCGCCTCGCCAAGAGGGGCTCGCACAGGCGCGGGTACCGCTCGAGCAACGGCCTGCAAAAGAAACAGCGGCACCGCGTGAGACTTCTCCTTGGCTAGGCGAAGGTACGTGCCCTCGAGCGGCGGCGGCCTAAGGGACAGCATGGCTTGGAGGCGTCGCCGACAGGGCACGAGGGACTTGCCCGCGGGCACCGCTCAAGCGGCGTCGCCGCGGAAGATGCGCGAGCGCTGCCGCGAGCGCGTCGGCGCCGCTGTCGGCAAGCGAGAGCGCCGCCTGCATCTCCGCCTCCCTCCACCGCCGCCCGCCCACCGCCTCGCCACAAGCCGCCAGAGACAGCTGCGAGCTCGGCTTGCGCACGCGGGTCTCGCCCGGAGGCGTCGCCTAGAAAAAAAAACCACGGATGGCGAGTCTTTCTTTTTTGTTGCCGCTGCTCGTGCGGAGGCGTCGCCGCCGCAGCCGCAGCCGCAGCCGTCGTCACTGTCTGCGACGCTGCGAAGCGCGCATGGGCCAATAGAGCGTCGGCCTAAAAGAGAAACACGGCCCGCTAGAGAGTTCTTCTTTCGCATGGGCCAATATAGAGCGTCGGCCGCCGCCGCCGCCGTCGCCGTCGCCGCGCCGGTGAACGCAGGAACGGCGGCGGCCGCCGCGGCGGCAAAATCGGGAGGAGAGGCGGCGGCGTAGGGAGACGACGGCGGCGGCGCGTCGGCGGCGGCCGGCACGACGGCGGCGAGTCGGATGCGGCGGAGAGCGTCGGCGCAAGCGGCGGTGGAACGGCGGACGGCGGCGGCGGCGCGCTCGAGAGGCGGGGCGTGTGTCTGCTCGAAGACGACGGCCTGCTTGAGAGGCGCGTGTCGGTGGACGCGTCCAGCGGACGTGTCGCGGACGTGTGGGCGGACGTGTCGCGGACGTGTCGCGGACGTGTCGCGGACGTGTCGCGGACGTGTCGTCGACGTGTGCCGTTGACGCGTGTCGTTGACGCGTGTCGGACGCGTGCTGCAGGAGGGGGGAAGGAGGGGGGTGGCGCCTGCTGGCGGCGGGAGATGTCGCCGAGCAGGCGGAAGAGCTCGCTGGTGGGGTGCGCCTGGCAATGAGTTCATCGAATGGGTGAGTTGGTGTGTACCAATAAGAGCTCGCTGGTGCGGGCGCGCCTGCACGGGTCGAGAGACCGCTTTGAGCGTGAGAGTGACGCGGGGCGGAGAGAGGGAAGAGAGGAGAGAGAGGAGAGGAGAGAGAGGAGAGGAGAGAGAGGAGAGGAGAGGAGAGGAGAGGAGAAGAGAGAGATAGAGAGAGAGAGAGAGAGAGAGAGGAGAGAGAGATAGGAGAGGGAGAGGGAGACAGAGAGGGAGACAGAGAGAGGAGAGGGAGACAGAGACAGAGTTAGAAATAGATAGAGAGGGAGAGGGAGAGGGAGAGGGGGAGCTGGTGCGGTGCGCTCGCCGCGACTGCCGTCGCAAACATCGCGCGTCGCTGCCTCTCCGCCGCCTGTCTCCTGCTCACCGCTGCCTCGAGCGTCGCCGCCTACACCGACACTTCCCCGAACCTTCCCCGACCCTGGCCGCTGGCCCACCGCCGCCTCGGACGCCGCAGCCTCGGCCGCGAGCGGGCGCAGCGCGGCGCCGGCGAGCCGCACCCGCGAGGCAAGGTCGGGCTCGAGGCGCGCCTGAACACAGAAATGCGCACCGCGCGGGTACTTCTTTTTTCTAGGCGAGGTGCAAGGCGTGGCTCGAGGCGGCGGCCTGAAGAAGAGGGGCGCCGTGGTCGTGTCGCGGGTGCCCCGCTGAGCGTACGGAGGCGTGGCGCACGAGTGGGCGTGCCTATGGGACGATTGCCACCCTTCGCCGACCCACAGACGGACCCGCCGCGACGTCGACCCGGCCCGGGGCCGCCTCCCTATCCAGCTTGGCGCGCTGCCTCGCAATCTTGCCGCGCACGCCGCCGCGCAGCCACAGCTGCGGCTGGAGCAGCGTGCAGCCAAACAGCCACGAGGACTGGCAGGCGGCGATCCTCGCGATCCGGATGCCCTGCCTCTCGTGGTTCTCTCGCAGCTTTTTGCGCGTGATGTACAGGTCGCTGTGCGCCGTGGCGAGCCGCTGGTTGACCACCTCGAGGCTGTGGCTCGCCATTGTCAGCGCAGACATCTCCCGCTCAAGCTCCTCGTACTTGTTGAAGAAGGACTCGAAGTCGGCCGCGGCAAGCGCCTGCATCCACCGAGAGGAGCGGTGGTGGTTGGTGTCGTTGGTGGTCGGCAGACGGCGTCGGCGGTCGGAGATGGTCGTCGGCGGTCGGCGTAGGCGGTGGTCGACGGCGGCGGCGGGGCGGCTAAACGCGCTTTCTTCGCACCGGAGAGGGTGGGGGGAGGGACCGGGTGCGGGGGGGAGGGAGGAGGGTGGGAGGGAGGGGGGTGCGGGGGGGAGGGAGGGAGGGAGGGAGGGAGGGGGGTGCGGGGGGGGGAGGGAGGAAGGATGGTTCTTCATCCCCGACACTGGACAAACTTAAGTTTGATTAAGTTTGTTTGGTTCGTCAGCGATGCAGCAGGCTGGAGAGAAGAGTGACAAGGGGAAGGAGGAAGAGAAACATGGTTGGGAGACAGCGCAAATTCGAGTCCTTAGAAGGAAGCGATCTTTCTCGGCCGACGCTCGGCCGACGTCCGCAGGCACAGCGGGCACGGCCACGGATCCCAGTAGCACTGGCTCGGCACGGCCACGGGTCCCAGTAGCACTAGCTCGGCACGGCCGCGGGTCCCAGTAGCACCGGCTCGGCGCGGCCGCGGTTTGCGGTCCTGAGCTTGCGCACACTGCGCGGGCGAGGAACAAACTTAAGTTTCGATTGCAGTCTCACAGTGTGCCGGCAGTCGCCGAGCAGTGTCGCTCACACAAGCCGCAGCACAAGTGACTGAGGGCCAGTGAGGGCGAGCCCATCGCTGTCACAGCTGTGGCAGCCACACAGTAGGCTGCGCGAGATCGGGGCGCAAGAGGTGGCTGGCTTGCTTGTATATGTCTCACCCAGACTCACACCAGACATTCGGTTTTTTGGGCCCCAGGGCGGCTAAGCGCGCGCTCTTCGCACAGGAAAGGGTGGGAGGGAGGGAGGGGGGTGTGGGGGGAGGGAGGGAGGGAGGGCCATTTCTTCATTCCACTGGGCGAACTTGAGTCAATTTTCACCACCATCATTATAAGTTTACCAGTAATTTTTTTCTTTGACACCAATGGGACTTCCACTAAACTTGGAAGACATAGACAAGTGGACCAATCCCTGCTCCGACATCGGAGACGTCCGTGAATTCGTGAGCCTCCCTGGCACCTGCGCCATTCTCAATGAAAAAAATCTCAAAGAACTGATCGAGCGCAACTGCCACGAGAAGCTCAACATCGAAACCGCCAAATTAATTGCTAAGGAGGATTCGCTGACGTTTGGCAAAGCCAAAAAGCAAGTAATTCAGAATTTAACACAGACCATGCGAAGTATTTGCCGCGAATTCACAAGCCAGGAGCCTAAGCGAATTGGTGGCTTTGTCTAGCGGAGAGAGATCTTTGTCTATGCCACACGCCAATACAAACCAAAGAATGAATTCGGTAGACAATATGGTCATAATGAGAATGGTCAAGTGAAGACGTTACAAATGGCATGGGGTGCCCTCCTTCGCCCTTTGATGGGTTCCTTTGCTACCGAAATCGATATGTCTTCGTGCCAGGTTCGGATACTGATACCGGAACGGGTGCTACGGTGGCACTCGCATGTTTCGGGCGGTTTTATGAGGTCGTCAGAAATGTCTGCCAAGCGGCAGTCCTCCATCCTGCGAGCCCTCATGTCTCTATGGCGCGCGGGCCACGACCCACCCACCCAGTAGGGACATGCAAGGATGCCGGAGCGCGGTAGTCGCTGGGCGTCACGCAAGCACCGGAAGGGATATGCACGCGCCAACGCCCGTCCAGGACGGACGGAGGCGTTAGGACAACGCAACCCTAACCCGTAGCCAAATTGGCACTCGGGCGTGTGCGCGCGTAGACACTACTCCTTGCTGTGTGTCCCTACGGCATATTAAGATGCCGATAAATGCCTCAAGAGCCGAGTGTGGGCCGGAAAGCCCAGCACTCTCTCGCCAGGAAGCATCGCAACACAAAGAGCTACGTGAAATGAGCCCACGGCTCTACTAGTGTAGCCAAACGTCAGATTCGACTGGAGAGTACCCGGCATGGGCCGGGGAAAACCATCGAGTGCACGATGTTCACACCCTGTACAGGGGAATCCTGTACTGGGGACGGTCGCACGAAACCTTTACGGATGGTTTCAATGCTCGACGTCTCGTGCCCGACTCTGACTCGCGCGACTGCTTTTGGCTGCTCGTTCCGCATTCTTCTACCCACCACCATCCCCTTATCTCCTCCAATGTCTGAGCAGTCGAACCGTATGGCAAGGCCAAGCTGCTCGACTTGAGGGGACGAGGCCAGCATTAGCAGTAGTGTCGCTAGCTAGCGGTGGGATATGCACGCGCCAACGCCCGTCCAGGACGGACGGAGGCGTTAGGACAACGCAACCCTAACCCGTAGCCAAATTGGCACTCGGGCGTGTGCGCGCGTAGACACTACTCCTTGCTGTGTGTCCCTACGGCATATTAAGATGCCGATAAATGCCTCAAGAGCCGAGTGTGGGCCGGAAAGCCCAGCACTCTCTCGCCAGGAAGCATCGCAACACAAAGAGCTACACTGAACGCAAGTCGGCGAGTCGTCCGTATGAGTCCGCGACCGAACCTGGTTTCGTTGCAGAGCATAACTCATAAGAGTCCCTCTGAAGTTTGCGCCCGGAGGCGCCTCTTTTTGCTCGCCAGCCTCCGCTCAACGGCCGTCGCGCCTCGTTGTCCTGTGCCTTGCCGTCGCTGGGCGACTCGGAGCGCGATCGCCGCTCACGGTCCCAGCCCCGGCCGCGCTGCCCTGGGCCTGGCTCCGCGGCGTCGCGCTCGACCTTCCTCCCTACCAGCTGGTCGGCGCCCCGAGAGCCCGCACCTGAGAGCTCGCTGCTCGGGCGGAGCAGACCTCGAACGAGCGCGAGGCGGCCGTCGAGGCGGAGCATGTGCGGCCGCGCGTGTACGCCCCGTACACGCGCGGCCGCACGTGCGCGGATCGGTGCGGGAAGTCGGCTGGCTGCCTGGCCGGCTCGGCCGTTTAAATTCCTCTCGCACTCGGCGGCTGCCAAGCGAGCTCAAAGTGCAGATTGGCACGTCGCTCGTGGCCGGAGCGCGTCGCCACGGAGGCGCAGTTGGCCACCGGCGCGAGCTCAGCGACCCAGGCATTCGCGCTCGGCTAGCAGGCGCCGCTCTGCGAGCGAGCGCGCTAACTCCCATTGCGCAGCGAGATACACGCGAGAACCGAAATCGCGCCTCGAAATGACGTACGTCCATGAAAATGAAACCTATGCAGTGCGACGAAACCGAAGCCCAAAAACCTGGGGCCAGTTTTGCTGCGGGACGCCGGACCCCGGCGAGACGCGGACCACCTTGCCGCCGCGGGCGCTGTCCGCCGCGAGCGCGCGCCGCGCCGCGCGCCGCCGCCGGGGGCTGTAACGGCTCCTAGTTAGTAGTTTGTCGATTCACATGGTCATTACTCGTCGGCACTCACGACTCACAGCACACAGCTCACAGGCACAAAACTTCCCAAACTGCAGACACTGCGATAGAGGGGGAAGGAGCGCACCGAAATATGAGACTAGAGAGCGTGGCAGAGTCCGAGGGATACGCGCCCTCCCTGGCTCCGGCCCTGCCCCTCTCCCCCTTCCCCCGGGAACTGAGACCAGCGAAGGGCGAGAGCAACGGGAGCATGAACGGGGATCGGCACGACTGCTAGAGGACGTCCCCCCCGCGTCGGGCGGGCTACCCCACCGAGGCGAGAGGGGACGCGGGCTTAGGCGACGGTGAGGGCGCCGTTCATGCCCGCGCCGCGGTGCGGCTCGCAGTAGTACGCGTAGCTGCCCGCGACGTCGAACTTCTTGGTGAAGGTCGCGCCCTCGTCGTTGAGAAGGCCGTCCATCGAGATGGACTCCTGCGGCCGGGGGGGGGGGGGGGGGAGAAGGCCGGGGGGGTTAGGGGGGGGGGGGGGGGGTCGAAGGGGGCGGGAGGCGGCGGCGGAGGCGAGAGGGGGCGGCGGAGGCGAGAGGGGGCGGCGGAGCAGGCGGCGGCCGCGGAAAGGGCGTCGCACCTTGTTGTTGGTCCAGGTGACGGAGTCGCCCTTGCAGATCTCAATCTCGTCGGGCACGAAGACCAGCTGGCCGTTGTCCGCCCCCAGCTTCACCATCTTGGTCGCCGCGGCGAAGCCCGGCTTGTTAACCTGCGCCATCGTCAGACCCGCCGCGAGGCCAGCCGCGCGCGCCATCGCGTGCCGCCGCGAGCACATCGAGTCGGACTTGACCACGGTGTTGAGCTCGTCGTTGAGCTGGAGCATCTCCAGCGTCTTGGCCGGGTTCTTGTCGCCAATCGACATCATCGGCTCGCCGGCGCGCGCGACGTCCGCCGTGTGGCTCGCAGAGCGCGCGCGGTCGCGGGACGCGCGGACCTTGTGCGCGCGAATGAGCATCGGGAAGAGCTCGCGCCCGTGCGGGGCGTCGTGCTCCACCGCCTCGAGCAGCTCGTCCGAGCCCCAGTGGCCGTCCGAGACCTACATGCCACAACACTTGCGCGAGCTCACAGGAGACGCGCAACGCGGCGCCACCGAGCAGCAGTCGCACACGGGACCGTGGCGGCCGCATCGAGGGTGGGCGCGCCGTGCGTGGCCGCGATGAGGGCGCAGACAGCGATCTTGTAGAGCATTTTGTTTAGTAGCCTGTTAATCAAGCAGGAGGGGGAGGGCATCGGCGGAAGTCGCGAGGTCGCGGCGAGGAGTCGCGAGTGGTGGAGGAGGAGGCGGCGGTTCGAGTGCACGGCCCGGCGGTGCACGGAGGTGGTGGGGCGCAGAGGGAGCTCGTCTCGGTGCGGCGGCGACGGGGGGGCGGGGGCAAGCAGCAGGCAGCAACAGCAGTGCGACCTGAAGCGGGTCGAGATCAACTCAATTTCGGCACTTCAGAACTGTCAAGGCACCCCCAGCCGCGGCGATCAAAGCCAGCGAGCTAGTTTGAGATGTCTCGTCTCTCTCTCTCTCTCTTCTCTCTCTCTCTCTCTCTCTCTCTCTCTCTCTCTCTGCTCTGACTCTCTCTCTCTCTCTTTCTCTCGCTTTAATTCCTCTCTCTCTCTCTCTCTGACTCTCTCTTCTCTCTCTTCTTCTTCCCTCCCTCCCTCCCTCTTCCCTCTTGTACATACGTACTTTTAGCTTACTGGGAGAAAAGGGAGAGGCGGTTGTGTTCTCTAGGCCCTTAAGGGCCCTACGCGCGGCGTGAGAGCTCGGAGGAAGCGAGCTTTGCGGGAGTGGGGAGGGTACGCGGTGCGGTCCACTCTCTCTCTCTTGTAGGTAGTAACGCTTCCCCAGGACTCCTCTCGCAAGGGGCCAACAGGAGGAGGCGCGTCCCCTGACATGGACGCTGCTCTCTCCACTGGAGGGTACGTTTCCACCCGCGGACTCGCTCCGACCTCCGTGCGAACTCGCTGTATGGGTAGTTTCATTCATAGCTACATGTATGGGCCCGCGCGCCACGCGCAGGCCGATTGCGGGGCTCTCCCACAACCACGCTGACCCGGATCCCAGGACAACGACAGAGGCGAAACGACACTCGGCCCGCCGACACAATTCGACCACTGGACACTATATCTAAATGCGGCGCAGGCCAATCTCAAGTTCCCCTCAATTCTTCGCGGGTTTTGGTGCAGTCACCCTCCCCCGCGACATCTACGGCTGTGGTGTTAACCGTTAACGTTTGAACACCGTTTGAACGTTAACGCACCAGCCCTGGCGGGGCCCCGGCTCCGCTAGTCTCAGCTAGCACCAACCTCCCGAATGATTACGGTTGATTAGAGGGCAGATTTGGAAAGATCGCGAGAAGTACATACAGGTAGACCCTCCAATCATCAGAAAACTTCAACCTGATCGGTCGTACTGACTCTGATGGCGTCGACGTAATCTTTCAGAAAAGCGCATCCACCTGGCTGATGCAGGATTTTGAGCGTTTGGCAACACGTCGGCTTGGACGGAAAGAGTCGGCCTTGCTTGCGGCGCCGGCAGCCTTGGTGGCGTGGGCGGATCATGCGCAGCCCGAGAGCGCGCGCGTCGAAGGCGCTCGCCGAGTTCAGCGGCTCCATCACGCGGCGCACGCTCACGCTCGCCGCCGCGCTCGCAGCCAGCACCTCGCCGACACCATCGCCCGCAATGGAGGGCATGGCGATGGACGCAAAGGGAGGACATACGATGGAGAGCTCCATCGCTTTCTTCCCCGGCGCTCCTTACATCGTCGACCCGGCGATGACGGAGGTGAATACCTTCTCGACGATCTCCGCTGCGCTTGCCGCCGCACCGAGTGGCAGCACAGTCATCGTAAGGCCGGGCACGTACAACGAGCGCTTAATCATACGAAAGACGGTCAACCTGCTTTGCCCGCGCGTGGTGCTGGACTGGACGAGCGGCACGGCCTACGAGGCGGCGGTCGACGTGGACCTGAGCGGCGCTGACGCCGGCAACGTCTACTTCATGGGCCTCACAGTTAGGCACAGTTGCGCGATCAATGGCGACCGCAACGCCGCGGTCTACGTCCACAGCCCGACGCGCAAGGTAGCGCTTGAATTTCCTCGTCTATCTGACAGCGCGCAACACTCCCCACACACCCACCGCATCGGCCTGATACGCAGGTGAAATTCGTCAACTGCGACGTCTCTAGCAGCAGCGGCACCGGCATTGGCGTCGGGGGTGGCAATGTGACGATCTTGTCATGCACCATATGCGATTGCAAGAACCATGGCGTGCTGTACGGTGGCAGCGGCGCCACTGGGCGCGTGGAGAGGTGCGTCGTCCAGCAGAACAAATTGAACGGGCTCTTGGTTCGGGACGGCGCCTCGCCGACGCTCAAAGATAATCTGCTGAAGGGCAACGGGCAGTACGGCGCGTTGTTGGTCGATTGCCGCGGCGCCTTGTTGGACGATAACGAACTGCTGCGTAATGGCAAGGGCGCGGTCAGCGGGACGTGCGATGAGGTATGACCCGGCACGACAGCTCCTCCATTTTGGCGGGCGGCTTTGGAGGTCGTCCCACTTGTGCCCTGCTTGTACACTCAGTTTTTATGTGGTGTGTGTTGTCGCGGTCTCTCTGGTCTGCACTCTGGCGCTCTACGATCCCTTGGTGCCGGAGTCCGCGCGCTTTCTTTTTCATGTTGCAGCGATGATCGTCTCGGTCGTGGCTAGCCCTTCAAATGTCGTGCTCCAGCGGCCGGTGTCCACCTCCCAGCGTGTGCAACATGCGGCAGCTCCACGCCGGCGACTACGACGCGGACAGCCTCGCGCAGCTGCTGCATGAGGCGTCGGTGCCGGTCATGCTGCGCCACCCTGTCTCGCCCTCCGCCTTCTCTTGGCGGCTCCAGAGCATGGCTTCGCTGCTGGCCCTGCACGGCGACGACAGTATCGAGGGCGGCGTGTACCGCGGCTTCACAGAGCAGGACAGGGTCGACGTCTCCCTGCCGCTGCGCGGCTTCTTCCCGGCGCTGCGCAACGGCAGCGTGCCGGCGGAGAGCTACCTCTTCCTCGACGTGAGCGAGATGGCGCTGGCCGGCTCGAGCCGTCCCCTCGGGGACCTCTACGGGCGGGTCAGTCTGCTGCGCGATCGCGGGTACGCCTATGCGCCGGCCGCGGCGCGCGGCCGCCCAGTCCTCTCTGCGGGCGGCTGGGGCAGCGGTCGTCCGTTCCACTCGCACGGCCCCGCGCTCAACGCGCTGGTGGCGGGGGCGCGTGTGTTTCTTCTTTTTGTGGGCGTGGTGGACGCGCGGCTGTGAGCGGCGTCTCTTCACGCCTCCGTAGGCGAAGCACTGGTTCGTGCAGCGGCCAGACGCGACCCCGGGCGGCGGCGCGGTGGAGGTGCCGAGGCGGACCGGCGAGGCTCTGGCTGCGGGCTGGGAGGACGGGTTGTGGCAGTGCACGCAGCGTGCTGGCGACTTGTTGTGGGTCCCGAATCTGCTTGAGCACGCGACGCACAACTACGACGACGAGGTGGTTGCACCTCTGCACGTCTCTCACTCTCTCTCTCTCTCTCTCTCTCTCTCTCTCTCTCTCTCTCTCTCTCTCTCTCTCTCTCTCTCTCTCTCTCTCTCTCTCTCTCTCCCTCTCCCTCTCTCTCTCCCTCTCTCCCTCTCTCTCTCCCTCTCTCCCTCTCTCCCTCTCTCTCTCTCTCCCTCTCTCTCTCCCTCTCTCCCTCTCTCCCTCTCTCTCTCCCTCTCTCCCTCTCTCTCTCCCTCTCTCCCTCTCTCCCTCTCTCTCTCTCTCCCTCTCTCCTCCCTCCCTCTCCTCCTCTGTCTCACGACGTGCCGCCTTCCATTGCAACACGTGGACAGGTGGTGGCCCTCTTTCACGTGATCAACGACTTGGGCGAGACACCGCTGCACGCGGCGGCACGAGCGGGCGACGTGGCGGCCGTGCGCAGCCTCTTGCGCGACAGCGGCGGCTCGCATTTGCACGCACGCAGCAAGCGGGGCGTGACGCCGCTCATTTTCGCCTCGGGCGCCGGCCACGTCGCCGCCATGCAGCCACTGATCGCGGCGGGGGCAAATTTGTCTGCTGCCGCGAGCAACGGCGGGCAGGCGCTGCACGCTGCGGTGGTTGGGGGGCACGCGCGGGCGGTCGAGCTGCTCTTGCGGCACGGCGCACCGGCTGAGGCGAGGGGGGCGTAGACGCTGGACACACACGCATCCCCTGCCTTCCGACGAGCGCTCGAGAGGAGGCGCATTGGTGTGCCTCGTCTTCGCGCGGCGCTCCGAGCACACCGCACGATCCGCGTAGTCACGGCAAGACACGACACTTGGCCCAAGACCGCACGAGCACAGACAGTCGAGAAGGGAGAGACGGCGACGGCAGTCAGAAGGCAGCACTGGGTTCCCGGAAGGTGAATGCGATGACGGCCCGTCTTCACACCCTGACGTCTGCGTCTTCACACCCTGACGTCTGCGTCTTCACACCTCCAGGCGAGGGACGGGCAGGGAGAGACGCCGCGAGACCTCGCGACCAGGCTCGGGCACGTGGAGATAGCGAGGGCGCTCCTGGGCGGCGCGGGCGTGGCGCGCAGCGTCGAGGAGGACGCGCTGCTCCTCTCGCAGCCCTTCATCGAGGAGGGCGTCTTGCTCACTTCGGCGGCGTCCGGGCGGCGCGTCTACCTCCACCGCCTCGCCGAGCTCTTCACGGCGCGGTGCGGCAACGGCTGGTGGACGCGCCCCCGCCGACGCTGCTCGCGGTCGGAGGTCTTCCTCACGCGCCGGGGCAACAGCCTGCAGCGAGTCGACTCGAGCACCCTCTCGCTCGCCGGCACGGCATCCCTCGCCGTGCCGCTCTCGACAGCGTCGCCCGCGGTGCGCCTCTGCCCCCCCCCTCCCCCTCCCACCACCACCAAACACACCCACACCCACACCCACACATAAGCCCCGCCGTTGTCTCCGTCGCCCCCTCCGCCGCTGCCTCCGTTCTTGCGCCGTCTCTCCCGCCGCCGCCGCCGCTTCCCACACCGTTGCCGCCACCGCCGCCGCCCTCTCCGTTGTTCCGACGAGAATATCGCACGCGTGCCGAGATTCGACAGACGAGTGTCGCACGTCCGCATCGCTACGATCCTCCGCCCGAGCTGCCCCAGGCATCGCCCTCCCGAGCCACACTGCTGTCACCCTCTCGTGCGCCCCGCACAGGTGCGTTCGGTGGAGGCCGCTAGATGCTTGTCAGACCAGACTAGATGCTTGTCAGACCAGCGACCTCGGCTGCATCCCTTTCCCCTCCGCTGTATCCGCAGCCCTCGCGTTCACGCGATGCCTTGAAGGCACGGCTCGGAGGCATGCTCGCGCCCTCAGCTCGCACAATCGCACAGCCCCGGGTGCGAGCTCGCACGACAGCCAAAGCCGCACGGCGGGGACAGGTAGTCAGGGACGAGCTCGGGGGCTCACGGGAGGCGGGGCCAAACCTTAGCGCGCCGCGCGCTGCTGCAGCCATCAGTCCGCCGTACTCGTGGACTCTAGGCCGAGGTCGCCCTTTCCCTGCCGGCGCCCCTCTTCCGCGCACCGGCCAACGAGCGCGACGAGGCAATGTACCGGCTGCTGGGCGAGGGGAAGGCCGCCAACGCCGCGGGGGACTTTGCCGCCGCGTGCGCGCGCTTCGAGGCCGCGTATGCCCTCTCTCTCCGCCCGGGCCTGCTGGTGAGCGCCGCAAACATGCGGATGAAGATGTCGCAGGTCGGGACCGCGGCGGCCATGTACCGCGCCCTGCTGGCTGACCGCGGCCTCGCCCCGCCGGAGAGGGAGATGGCCTCTCAGAAGCTGGCCGAGGCCCGCATGCTGATGGAGCGGCACGCCTCGGCCAAAGAGACGTGTGATCACGCGGCGCCATAGGGGCTTCTGCGCTCTGTGTCCATCTCACTGACTCTCTCTCCCCAACTCTCGCCTCGTGCTCGACCCTCGAGAGTGCACATGCATGCCGCGTACGTCTCTTGTGTCCTGATAGTGATACGGGGTCCCTGTACACTTACCTAAAGGTCGCCCCAAGAGGACGCATCCCTCGCAGCCGCACATTTCGCGGACCGCCGAAAAGTCTCCCACACTTGTGCATGGCACCTCCGACCAGAGGTGGAACGGGCGCACATTGGGTAAACAAAACCACGCCTTGCATGCACTTTCTCAGCTCCCCGCGACGCGAAGCGCGTGCATCGCCCCCTTGAGCTCCGCCACCTGGTCGAGCGCGTCGCCGAGCAGCCCCTTGGCCACGCCAAAGTCGCGCAGCTGCTCCACGCCGCCGCTCGCCCGCACCTCGGCGGCGTTGTCGGCCACGTAGCGGCGGCACTGCGCGAGGAGCCGCCCGTCGCCCGTCGCGTGCGCCGCCTCGAGCAGCGGCACGGCGCTCGCCGGCCCGACGCTCTCCTGCAGCGCCTGCGCGCAGAGCAGCTCGAGGCGCGGCACTTGGTACATCTGCGCCAGCTGCCGCAGGTCGAGCGCGCGCTGCGCTCTGCCGCCCTCCTCCTCGCCGAGGTCGAGCTGGTCGGTGCAGAGGTAGCGGATGAGGGCGGTGAAGGTGGCGAGGTCGGTGTTCCGCACCGTGACCTCGGCGGCGTCGCGCTCCTTCATGCCGATGCCGAACATGGTCCGAAAGAACACGGACCGAATGCAGAGCAGGTTCTTGCTCACGCTCTCGATGCGCTCCTCATCGTCGCCGACGATGAAGGTGACCTTGCCCTCTGGGAGAGTGGCGTCGCCCCACACCTTTCCGAGGTCTGCCACCAGGGTCGAGGGCGGCACCACAATCGGCGCGAAGGAGGGAGGCGGAGGAGGCGCTGACACGCAGACTTGGCGGAGGGAGTCGCTCGTGCAAACCAGAAGATCGCTGCCATCGGAGCTGATGGCCACGAGGAGTGGGTTGCAGAACTGCGCCGCGCCGCCCACGCCATCAGCGCTGCCGCGAGTGCCGCTGCCCGCCACCGTGGTCACCGCGCCCGTCGCCACCTCCACCCGCCGGATCTTGTGGCCGCCCCTATCCGCCACAAACAGCGCGCTGCCGTCTGGGCTGATGGCGACGCCGGTTGGGTAGTCGAACTGCGCCGCGCCGCCCACGCCATCAGCGCTGCCCACCGTGCCGCTGCCCGCTAGCGTCGTCACAGCGCCAGTCGCCACCTCCACCCGCCGGATCTTGTGGCCGACCCTGTCCACCACAAACAGCGCGCTGCCGTCCGGGCTGACGGTGACGCCGAATGGGAACTTGAACTGCGCCGTGCCGCCCATGCCGTCGGCGTTGCCCTCGACGCCGCTGCCCGCCACCGTCGTCACAGCGCCAGTCGCCACCTCCACCCGCCGGATCTTGTCGTTGAGGTAGTCAGCCACAAACAGCGCGCTGCCGTCCGGGCTGATGGCGACGCCGCATGGGAACTTGAACTGCGCCGCGCCGCCCACCCCATCAGCGCTGCCACGAGTGCCACTGCCCGCGAGAGTGGTCACCGCGCCAGTCGCAGCCTCCACCTGCATGATCTTGTGGTTGAACATGTCTACCACAAACAGAGCGTTGCCGTCCGGGCTGACGGCGACGCCGCTGGGATCGACGCCTTCCAGGGTTGCCACGCGGCGCACGCGCCCAGCCGCAGAGATGTGCAGCACTGAGTCAGCAGTGGTGACGTACCACGCGCCCGCGTGATCGCTCACGGCGCCTTTCACGTCGAGCGCTGCCGGGCCGTCCTCGCCCTCGAGCGGCAGCGTGGTGACCTGGCCGACGACGCGTACGCCAAAGAGGGGCGCCTCGAAGCCATCCGCGACCGCCACAGCCCTGCCGTCCGAATCGCCGTCCTCGCCGGCGGTGCGGGCGCGCTTGTGGGCGGACGCCATATACGCACACAGATCTGTCCGAAAAAACGCCTAGTCGCGGGTTCGGGATCAACCCTAGGTGCGGGCCCCGAGAGCTCATCTACACCTTCGCCGCCAGCGCCCTTGCCGCGGAAGCAGACGTACCTAAAAATGGCCTAAACGAAAATATTTAGTTGCACTCAGACGTTGAGCACTGTCGGAGCGGTGTTTCGACACCGTGATCGCTCTTGAGGAAATATGTATGTAGGAAGTGGAACCAGAAGATTTGGGGGGGGGGGGGTACGAGTTGGCGGGACGAGGGCGGCGAATTGCGTGGTACTGCGTTCGCTGCCGCTGGCTGCACCTGGCTGCCGCCGGCTGCCGCTGGCTGCCGGGCGCCCGCCGCAAATGGAAGACGAGGACTACGTGGTGGCGGCGGCCGCGGGGGCCGCTGGCACACGAGGTGCTCGCCGCCTCCGCCGCGACGCGGTGAGGCACAGAGCATGGAGAGCCGAGCGCATCGGCGCATTGGGCCATCGTGTTGCTGTCAGGGCCTCGGCGACGGAGAGCGGGGCCGAGGAGGACGAGGCCGGGGCGGCGTTCAAGTGGAAGTGGAACATAGACGGAGGGGAGCTCTTCGAGGAATGCCTCCGCAGGGCCAAGCTGGAGGGGCATCTGCCCGATCTCATGCGCGGCTGCCCTTTCAGCGGGCAGACGGCCCTGACGCGGAGCATGCTGCGCGCGCTGACTCTTCCTTACGTGACACGGGCTCTCAACGGCGACTTTCCAGGATCAGACCTGAAGGAAGCGGAGGAGGCGCACATCGCCAGTCTGGACGCGTATTGCCGCAAGCATTGGGCTCCGACGGGGCAGGTGGCAAATGGCCGATGGCCGGGCGGTGCGCCGCTCTGGTGGCATACAAGGGCCAGCCTGGACGACGGGGAGTGGGTGCCGCGCGTGCCGGCTTGGCAGTGCGCCGTGTGCGGGGAGGAAGCCTTCCCGTTTGAAGAGTGCGGGCGCTGCCGGCCTGCCCGCACAGCGCCAGTGCAGCACGGAGTGCCAGCGAGCACACAGGGAAGGGTGTGAATCTAATCGCATGTGTGGCGCCCAGGGTACAGCACAACCGCAGAGAACAGATACTGCACGCCGTAGACGCTACTCCTATGGTACCTAGCAACCGCACCCCTCGCTCCCTCGCCCCGCGCGGACGAGCAGGGTCTCGCCGTAGCCCAGCCGCTCGACGCCGTCAAAGCGCAAGCCGGCACCCTCGGCGCACGCCTGGAAGCCTGCGACGCTCGACTCGGCCGGCGTCGCCTCGTGGCCTGCCTCGGCGAGGAGCAGCGTCCTTTCCTTTGGCCGGAGCAGCTCGCGAACGCAGGTAGCCAGCGGTCGCCACGCAGCGGACTGGTAGAGGACGTCGCTCGCCAGCACCACATCGACCATGCAGCGGCGAGTCGACCAGCTCGCTCCACGTGAGCGCTCGCACCTCGACCGCCGCGCGATCCGAAGAGTCGAGGTTGCGCTTCACATTGGCACGCGTACGGTCGAGAAGGTCGGGGTTGCCATCGGTGAGCAGCACCTGTGATGCGCCGAGGCGCGCCGCCACGATACCACAGAGCCCGGTGCCGCACCCAAGCTCGACGACTCGCTTGCCGCGAATCGCCGTGGATCCGACGGGGTCGAGAGCCAGGTAGGAGGCCAGCGCTGTGCCGGCGGTCCAGAGACGGCTGCGCCAGTGGTGCCTGGCCCGACGCTACCCTGCGCGATCGACACTGTGCCAACCGAAGGCCATGCAAACGCACGCGTGCTGTCAATCATGCACGGGTTGATGTAGCACCAGTCACTGTTGTCTCGATGAGGCAGCGGTCCTCGGCGACAGTCCGCAGCGGCACGGCGGGCATCAGCGTCAGCGTCGCGACAAGGCCTTGGGACACAGCAGAGCGTCGAAGGGCATTGGCACGTTCTAGGATTGGCCGCGGCTGCTGATCACTGGAAGAATCGGGCCCGCCGGGCTGCGGCACCTGCCGTGTCTTTTTACGCTCTCCCTCTCGTCTCTCTCTCTCGCTCTCTCACCATCACCCCCCCCCCCTCTCGCTCGCTCGCTCTCTCTCTGTCTCTGTCTCTGTCTCTCTCTCTCTCTCTCTCTCTCTCTCTCTCTCTCTCTCTCTCTCTCTCTCTCTCTCTCTCTCTCTCTCTCTCTCTCTCTCTCTCTCTCTCTCTCTCTCTCTCTTGCTCTCGCTCTCGCTCTCGCTCTCGCTCGCTCGTTTTTTCCCTCCCTCCCTCCTCCCCCATCCCCCCCCCCCCCCCTCTCCTGAAGCTCTCCAACTTAAACAATTCGGATCATGAACCAAACATAGCTTTTGCTTGTGCGTCTTGGGTCCGGGGTTGTGTTTTTGTACGTACGTACTTTTAGCTTGCTGGGAGAAAAGGGAGAGGGGTTGTGTTCTCTCTCTCTTTGCATGAACCAAACTGCTCGGCTACTAGCTTAAGGTCACCATCCTCTCCGGCTACGACAAGGTGAACGAAGGTCACCATCCTCTCCGGCTACGACAATGTGAACGTGATCTGTACATGGGCGGCGTCCTCCTCCTCAAGTCCCTTTGCGACCGCGCCAGCGACCCACCGCCGACTGGGTGGGCCAGCCGCGCGGGATACAAATGCGTAATGTCGACGGTGGCCAAATCTGAACCCGTAACGACCAGACGTCGGTCGGCTACCCGACATAGACAGGCTTGTCTATATCGGTCGGATGCTTGAGACATGAGCTAGCTCCCGGGAAAGCCGGGCCCACATAAGTAGGAAGTGGTTTCCCAACGTGTGGGGGCAGTGTGCACAACACCATGGGCCACCACTGTGGAACATGTGCGTGCCAGTCTGTTCCACCATCGTGGGGCGGGCCTGCTAGATGTGCATACGCCCTTGCCTCGGGGTTACAGTCGGTGTGCGACCGTCGGGTGTGTCGCGCAAGTATGTATCTGACAGTTTGGAGCGGCCGGGGGATGAACCGGAGGATGGGACGAGTGAGGTCGCGGAGTGGTGGGCTGAGCCGGATCAGATGGCATCAGAACCAGTGAAGTGGCCAATCGTCTCGGGGATGGAAAGTAACGGACGGGAGGGCTCGGGCCATACGCGTTCAGATTTGTACATCCACGAGTTACTTCGTTCTGCTTAAGATTCTGCTGCCCTCCCCTGCCCTGCCCCGTACATGCCACAGCCCTGCCGTCCGAATCGCCGTCCTCGCCGGCGGTGCGGGCGCGCTTGTGGGCGGACGCCATATACGCACACAGATCTGTCCGAAAAAACGCCTAGTCGCGGGTTCGGGATCAACGCCTAGGTGCGGGCCCCGAAGGTCATCTACACCTTCGCCGCCAGCGCCCTTGCCGCGGAAGCAGACGTACCTAAAAATGGCCTAAACGAAAATATTTAGTTGCACTCAGACGTTGAGCACTGTCGGAGCGGTGTTTCGACACCGTGATCGTTGAGGAAATATACTGCACGCCGTACGTAGTCGTAGATAGACGCTGCAGCGTGCACCTCGATCCTGTACCGTGTTTGTTATGACCCCCCCCAATGAACACACCAGTGAGGGTGGGCGAGACGATCGAGGGGTCCCGTACCATGCGGAATTGACCCTATCAAGTGCTCAAGTGCTCAAGTGAAACAAGGTTGAAGTGCACGCCCTTTTTGACTCGCGGCAGGACTTTTGACCGGCTGTGACCCACACATTGTGGACCCACACAATGTTCCACTCGACACATGCCCGACTGCTGCCCCTCTCGGCCGACGTTGGCGTCATTGAGGCCGTCGCCGTTTTTGTGACGGCGACGATTGCACTTCAAACTTTCCTCTTTGCCACCGCCGCCGCCGTCGAGTTCTCGCGTCGCAGGTCCGAGCGCAACCTTGGCCAGATCCTGTCCGAGCTGCGAGGCTCGCTCTCGAACCCGCCGGCAGCCATCCTGACAACAATGGCTTGGGATCTTCTCGTGAGACCCCACACCCCGTCAGCTCAGAGGTACAGCGCGCACGACATGAGCCTGGCCAGCATGCCTCGCATCGACCGGCTCCTGCTCGAATGGCTGGCCGTCTTTGTCGCGACCGACTTCTACATTTATTTCGAGCACCGGCTGATGCACACGCGCTTCTGGTACACGCGGATCCACAAGCATCACCACCAGTTCCACACTCCGACCGCTTTTGCCGGCTTTGCCCAACACCCCCTCGAGGCTGTCCTCTTCACCGTTGGCTCGCTGTGGATCCAGGCTATCCCTCCCCGTCACGTAATAGTAAGCGGCTGAGAAGAAGCAACTCCCAGACACGACGCCAGCCCCGCCAGGCTACTAAGCGGGGCGACGGTAACTCCCACACACGACGCCAGCCCCGCTAGGCTACTAAGCGGGGCGACGGTATAAACCTGTTCTCTCCCTCCTGCGCAGGCGTTTGTGGCAATACACCCCTTCGCTCATGCGGCATTTGGAGTGTTTGGCATCACGTGGACCATCCTCTCGCACGACGATCGCTCGTATCACGACGGTGGCTTCCACTACCTTCACCACCTGCACCAGCAAAGCAACTTTGGAGGATTTACGCACCTGTGGGACTGCCTATTCCGTACACGACGAACAAAGCACCCCTAGGCCTATTCGTCTATAAGAGAGACGTGAGACGAGAGCCCGGTGGCCGCCGGCAATGCGCAATGAGTCGGTTGGGAGGGAAGGAGGAAGACAGCGACTAGAGAGCGTCGTGCAAGGCACTCGCTTGCTTTTTTTTCGCTCTGCGTGCAAGGGGCCACGCTGCATGCGCTAGGGGGTGGCACTGGCCACTGCGACCGCGTCGCCTCCGCTCATAGTCATACACCTCGCGGCTCGCAACAACCCTCTCACGTACGTCCTCTAACATTGTTTTGTGTAGTTAAAAAGTACGCGACGTCGATCAGTACGTACGACCTAGTCGGTAACCACACCACAGTCCACACCACAGAAAGGCGAGAGAGAGAAGAGTCCCACATCTCAGTGGACAGAGTGCATAGGCTCGCGGCGCGAGGCCCCCTCATCCGTCCAGCGCCGGCGCGACGAACCCCTCGGGCAGCGAGTCGGGCGGCGGCTCCGCGGTCGCGGGGCCAAAATAGGAGCGGTGGTTGTTCGTGCGCGTGCCGCCCGCGTCGTCGCGCGGCTTCTCGGGCACGATCGTCCAGCCGGTCAGCCCCTGCCTCTCGCGCGCGTACCGGTCCGCCGACGGGCTGTCGGAGCGAGGGAGCACGGCGATGACGAGCTGCGGCTGCTCCGCGGTGCGCGTGAGCACGCCCGCGGTGTGCTGCTGCAGCAGCTCGTCGTACGGCAGCTCCTCCGAGTAGGTGTACGGCGCGACGCCTAGTCTCGGGTAAGCTCGGGTAAGCTCGGGGCAATCTCGTCCTCCGAGTAGCTGTACGGCGCGACGCCGTCGCACTCCAGCAGCTCGACCCACACGACGTCGTAGTCGAGCTCGGTCACGCGACGCACGTACCCGCCCTCGGGGCAGCTCCCTGGCTCGGGCGGCGCCGCTAGCACGGAGCAGGCGTGCACGACGGGCACGCCCATGTGCTCCTGCAGCGCGCGCGCCTGGTAGAGCAGCTCCGCCTGCAGATATGGGGAGATATGGGGAGATATGGGGAGATATGGGGAGATATGGCTGTGGTAGAGCAGCTCCGCCTGCAGCCGAGTACGCCGAGTACGCCGGCGGTTGAAGTGGTGTGTGGGGGGGGGGGGGGGGGGTGGAGTTCAGCCCTGGTGCGCTCGCAGGCGGGGCCGGGGGCTCTCCGCCTGCAGCTCGTAGCTGAAGCCGAGCGTGAAGAACATCGGGTCGGCAAAGATGACCGGCTCGCGCGTGTCGGAGCGGAGGAGCAGCCGGATGACGGAGCGCGCCTAACCTCGGGTCATCTCGGGTCATCTCGGGTCATCTCGGGTCATCACACGAGGGCCGTGATCCAGACGACGGGGCGCGCCATCACGCGCCCCACGTTGTCTGTGACGACCAGCACCCGCACGTGCGACTGCAGCACGTACCCCATCAGCGCCTTGTTGTACCTGCTCCCCTCGGACGAGATGACGCGCAGGCACGACCCCGCGTCCTCCCCAACCATGAAGAGCGTCTTGGTCTGCGAGGTGCCCGGGCAGTCCTCCGCGTACCACCGCTCGAGCACCTCCTCCGAAAACATGTCCAGGTGCCGCCGGTTGGCCGCGGAGGCGCGCCGGATCTCGCGCAGCGTCTCGCCTGCGGCGTCGGGTGATCTCGGGTGATCTCGGGCGATCTCGGGTGATCTCGGGTGAACTCGGGCGATCTCGGGTGGTCTCGGGTGGTCTCGGGTGGTCTCGGGTGATCTCGGGTGATCTCGGGTGATCTCGGGTGATCTCGGGTGGTCGAGGGGAGTCTCGGGAAATCTCGCGCGGCGTCTCGCCGGAGAGCTGGAAGATGGCGCGCAGCCAGCGGCGGATGAGCGGCGCCTAATGACGAGCGGGTACCCTACAACGAACCGCTCCTACCCTCGACTCGCCAGCGGCGGGTGAGCGCCATCCGCTCGTCCTGCCGGTTGTCGTCGTAGTACCGGAAGAGCAGCTCCGGGTTCCGCCACTCGAGCAGCGCGCTCCTAGATGGGGAGATATGCGGAGATATGGGGAGATATGGGAGGTGTAGGTTCCGCCGCTCGCGCTGCGCGCTCCGCACGGCCTCGGCGCGGGACGCGACGAAGCTCCCCTCCAGGTCGAGCATCGCGCCGAGTGCGTCGAACTCGACACGCTCGAGCGTCGAGAGAGAGAGCTGCGGCGAGCGCAGCAGCGCGTCGTACTGCGAGAGGACGACCGGGCACGACTCGGCGCACGCGGAGCGGATCGAGGCCATCAGCGTGGCGGTAGTCTCGATCTGCTTGACCTGCAGCAGCACCCGGTCGCCTGTACCTCCCCAGATCTCCCCAGATCTCCCCAGATCTCCCCAGATCTCGATCTGCCTGACCTGCAGCAGCATCCGGTCGCCCGTATCTCCCCAGATCTCCCCAGATCTCGATCTGCCTGACCTGCAGCAGCATCCGGTCGCCCGTATCTCCCCAGATCTCCCCAGATCTCGATCTGCCTGACCTGCAGCAGCATCCGGTCGCCCACGTCGTCCTCCGTCACAACGCAGAGGCCCTCCTCGTCGTACGCCCCGCAGCTGGCGCACAGCTCGACCAGCCGTCCGGTCGCCGCCAGCTCTCCGCTCAGCCGCGCCGCCGCGCCTTGGCGGCGGAGCAGGAAGGGCTCGGGCGCGTAGGCAACCACCGTCTCGCCGTGGCCGATGGCGCGGTGCCACGAGTCGAGCAGCCAGTACAGCAGCGAGTTGATCACCTGCGAGCGAGATACGGCCGAGGTGCGGCCGAAGTGCGACCGAGGTACGGCCGAAGTGCAGCCGAGGTGCGGCCGAAGTGCGGCCGAGGTGCGGCCGAGGTGCGGCCGAGGTGCGGCCGAGGTGCAGCAGCGAGCGATCACCTTCTCCTCGGGGCCCGCGCGCGCGATCCGGTCGAGCATGTACGCAACCTCGCTCGAGTCGCGCTCCCACTCCTCCGGCACGCCTTCGAAGTGCGCGTGGAAGGGCGACGCCGCCTCCCCTCCCTCCGCCTCCCCTCCCTCTGCCTCCGCCTCCGCCTCCGCCTCCGCCGCCCCCGCCTCCGCCGCCTCCGCCGCCTCCGCCGCCTCCTCTTCCACCGGCGCCTCCGCCTCCTCCTCTCCCCACCACTCCTCCGCCCCCCCCTCGGGTCGTGCCGCCGCCGCCGCGCAGAGCCACGCGCGGTTCGCTATCTCGAGGAACGGGTACACCATGCGGCAGCGCTGCCAGATGAGGCGCGCGTTGGTCGGCTTGGGGTGCCAGTTGCCTACGTGTACCATACCTCCAGAGCATCGAATCCAGTTGCCAGTTCCCTACGCGCTGAATGCGCCGACATCATTCAGAGCACCGTGTGAACACGAGGGGCACGCACACAGTGAATACAGCGGAAGACGGCCGAAGACAGCTGAATACGCCTCCTCTGGTTGGGATACATGAATACGTGTTCTGCGGCTAGGGCCGGTTGCCCTAAAGTCGCAACGCGTAGGCCTAGTGCACCATTCTGTGTGAGCTCGGCACCCACAGTCCTGCCGCTGCTCGCCCCAAAGTTGGTCTCGAAGGAGCTCTTCAGCGACGGCCACAGCGAGCGGTCGAGCAGGCGGTACCTCACCAATAAGAAAGGAATGGATTCAGCCGCAAGCAGTACCAGTCAACTGAGAAGTCGAGCAGGCGGTCACTCGTCGGCGCCGCGCCAGAAGAAGGCGAGGCAGAGCACCTCGAGCGAGCGCGAGCGCTGGTCCGTCTTGACCTTCTCCGTCACCGTCCGCGCGGACCAGAGCAAGTCTTCTCGGTCCTCCGCGGTCGGCAGAGTGAGGTACGCTGCCACCAACAGCCAGCTCTGCTCGAGCGCGCGCTGCACGTCGTCGAGCGCCCGCCGCACCTCCCTCGGCTTGCCTCCGTCCAGCGGCGCGACCTCCTGCAGGGCTGGTCCGAGAGGCTCAGAGATAGCGGACTCTCTCACGGGGCCTGCTTCCGCCCGTGCGGCGCAATCTCCTTGCCGTCGGCGCGCCTGCGCGGGGGCGGGGCGCGGGGTGCGGCGGCGGGGTCGGCCGTCTCTTGGAGCGGTGCCGTCGATGTGTGAAGGGAGAGCCTCGGAAGGGCCTCGGAAGGGCCTCGGAAGGGTCTCGGAAGGGTCCCAGAGGCGCGCCGCGCGAGGAGCGGGTTGAGGCCATTCTTCTTGGGCACGAACTTGAGCACGGCGTATAGGTCCGGGTAGGTCTGCTGGCAGCGCACCACCAGGCCGAGAAGCCCGTCCAGCGCCGCGATGTACGTCTGCCGGCTCAGGCGGCGAGTCAAGAGCAAGTGCACGCTGAAGCCGCCGTCCGCCCACTCTTCCCACCCGACGCCTTGGCCGGCCGACGCGCCGAGCGGCACCGTCGTCGCCCCTTCGACAAACGTCGCAACCAGCTCCTCGTACTCGGCCGGAGGACGCTCCCACTCGGGCCATGGAGGGAACTTCCCGTCGGTGCCTGTGGAGAGTCTGGCGGCGGCGAGCGGGTCCGCAGTGGCCAGTGCCGCAGCGCTCCGGCAGCTGGTGGCTGCAAGAGGCGTGTGGACGGACGGACCGGCGATTAAGCTGAAGGAAAGCGAGGCGGCGGCGGAGAGGAGCAGCATCGCTGAGTCGGCTTGCTTGCGCCCGGCTGCGCCCGGCTGTGTTGAAAAATTGCGCGAGGAGCAGCGAGGAGAGCTCAGCACCACACACCTCTCCTTAAAATCCCTGTGTGGTGGCGGCGTGCCGTCCTCCCATCCCTCCCTTGCCGTCTCCGTTTTGTTTTTTTCTTTCTTTAGGGGAAGAACAACTCGTACCGGTGAGTATGGACCGAATTCAGTATGGACCGAAATCCCTGATGGCCGGTCCCTCCCTCAAGAATGGCGGCAGTGGCGCTCACTACAGGTGGGGTCAATCCGCCCGCGAAGTGACGATCGCCATCAACGCCGGCTCTCGTCGCGGCCGAGACTTTCGTGTCGAGATCAATCGGAGCCGCGTGAGCGTGGCGGCCAGGAGCTGCGGCGACGAGGTGGCCGCAGACGCCGCAGTCCCTGCGGCTCACAGGCCACCCTCCGACCGCCTCTCCCACCGCCTCCCCAGTGGCAGCACCTCCTGCGCGGCGAGCTGCAGCGACCCGTGCTGACGGACGAGTGTGAGTGGAGCGTGGAGGACGGGTCGCTGATCATTGCCCTCGCCAAGGACGGCCGGCTCGGCGCCGAGGCGGAGTGGTGGACCGGGGTGCTCGCCGGCGAGGACACGCTCGAGGCACGGACGGCGGACGCGGTGGCCTACGCCGCGCTCGAAGGCCTCCCCGAGGAAGAGCGGCACCTCGCTACAAAGGCGGCAGCCGAGAGACAGCCGAGAGATAGCACCCCGCCACAAAGGCGAGGCAGCCGAGAGATGGCCGCGAGATGGCCGAGAGATAGCACCTCCCCACAGAAGCCCTCCTCGCTGCGGGACACACTGCAAGACACACTGCAAGACACTAGCAGCACACGAGACAGAGCTGCGAGACAGAGCTGCGAGACAGAGCTGCGAGACAGAGCTGAGAGACGGAGCTGAGAGACGGAGCTGCGAGAGACGGAGCTGCGAGAGACGGAGCGCGAGACAGAGCTGCGAGCTGCGACGGAGCTGCGAGACCAGCCACCACCCGCAAGACGCCTCCCGCGCAGGCGCTCGCCATGAGCAGCGGCCTCGACGCCGTGCACGCGCTCGCTGCAAAGGCCGCCGCGGCTTCCGACGGCGCGGGCGGCGGAGGCGCTGGCGGCGGAGGCGCTGGCAGCCGTGCTGGCGGCGGTGCGGGTGAGGGTGCGGGTGTGGGTGAGGGGGCGGAGGAGCGGGCGGGGCCGGCTGGGAGGGTGCGGCGGCCTCTTCTTCGGCTGCCCGTCCCTGCTGCGCCATGAGGCGCTGGTGTTGCGAGCGCAGGTGCTCGGGCTGAGCGACATCCCGCAGTGGATCCTGGACGAGGTGGAGGGAGATCGAGCCGAGATCGAGCCGAGATGTGATCCCGCGGTGTGGACGATTCGGGGGGGGGGGGGGGGGGGCACTCTCCTCGGGCAACCGGGGCCAGCCCGCCCCCAGACCGCCCCCAAACCCGCCCCCAGCCCCGGCAAATTCTCTCCCGAGGTTGGGCTCACGCGAAATAGGGGGGACGGGAAAGGGAGGGCGGCGGAAACCCGCGGGGGCGAAAAACAAGCCCCCCCGGGGGAATCCGGGGAGGCCCCCCCCGAAGGCCCAAAAAGAAAACCCTTTCTCCAAAGGGGAAAAAACCCCCCCTCTCCAAAACCAAAAAAAACCCGGGGCCCCCCCCCCCCCC